CCCAAGGTTCACTCCTCTTTTGCTCAGAAGAAAAGCCCAACAGCCCTGTGATTTGTTGAATTAACTCTGGCCTCACTGTTTCTCTCCCTTACTTTCGTACTATAGCCACAATGAAGCCTATTCATATCCAAAAATTTTTAAATGTGCTATTCTCTCTGTAACACACTTTAGTTCTCACCTCAAAATCCTCTTACCATAAGGTTGCTGCAAATGAACTGAATGTAGAGCAGCCATCATGTCAATCAGCTCTCATGGACTGGTATTGCAGGTGGCAGCTTGACCCACTGTGATGGGTTAATGATGCCACCCCCAGGATAATTCTTTTCCTGATTTTGAAATCTGTCATAGTGTAACACAAGTCTAGAAAATCTCACTTCCTTTAGATACGTACTCAAATATCACCTTCTCAACGATGCCTTCCCGGACCATCTATTCTTATTGCTATTCCCAGACCCCAATACTCACTACCCACTCCCTCATTTTCTGCTTTACTTTTTTTTCCCAAAGCATTTACCATCACTTGACAAAAATGAAAAGCACATACACCTTTATGATTGTGTGCCTCCCACTATTAGGGAAACTCCATTAGAATTGGGCTTTGTAAGTTCTACTCACTACCACTGGTATAAAATAAGTATTTAATAAATACGTACTACCTTGGGAACTTTATTTTTCTGGATGGTTACATAAAAATGTCTCAAATATCTTTTCTAGAAAACACGGACTAGAGCTTGGTTCAGTGGCTAAATCCTCGCCTTGCAAGTGCTGTGATCCCATACGGGCACCAGTTCTTGTCCCAGTGGCTCTACTTCCCATTTAGCTTCCTGCTTGTGGTCTGGGAAAGCAGTAGAGGACGGCACAAAGCCTTGGGTCCTGGCACCCCTGTAGGAGACCCAGAAGAAGCCCTAGGCTCCTAGTTTTAGATTGGCTCAACTCTGGCCGTTAGGACACTTGGGGAGTGAACCAGTAGATGTAGGATCTTTCCCTCTGTCTCTCTTTCATGCTGTAAATCTGATCTGCCTTCCAATAAAAATAAATAAATCTTAAAAAAAATGTATAGGCAATCTACCTTGCTCTAGTGTAGATTTAACAAATCGCCTCTCAAATAATGCCTTTAAGAACATTCCTTCTCCAAGTTTTCCAAAGTTCTGAACATAGGCATGTCACTGAGCAACTGAGCAGACTGAGACAACTTAACCACAGTGTTGTATTATAATCAAATAAAACTTACAACAAAGTTAATCAGACACATATTTAATGATATGCATAATTGTTATTGTGCCGCACGGTAACTAGGCATAAATGGTAGACACTTCATGTAAATGACTCTAATTACTATTTCTTTTATACAGCCAAACCAAGCATGTCTGGGATCAGCTTCAGGGGAAAATGAGAGGAGAAAGATGCATACTTAATTCTGGAAGGCATGCCTTTCCTATTCCACCCCTTAGGCACTGGGCTAACAGCTTCCTAGCCCAGGCCATGTGCCTTCAAGCAAAGTAACTCTTTCCCTTCCACAATTAGGAGAGGCTTCTTTTTTACCAAAAATTACTAATAAGCCAGGGACCTGGTCTCTGCCTCCAGTCTCAAAGCTGAGAGGAAACATGAACTAGCTTCTATCTCTGGCAAAGAGGACTGGGAACAGACAAGCTGGGGAAGAAACAAAGTAAAGAGATCAAAGTTCGTGAAGATCTATTATATTCCAGGTACACTAGTAACTGCTTTGCACAATTCTACTTCCCCAATCCAACCAGACTAGATTCCCAATTTCATTCCCAGGAAAGTAAAGACCAAAGTGGAGAGAGGGTTAACTCCAGAGAAAACTCCCTGTTCTGAATTCTCACATGATCCAACATGTTATTAGCCAGGTGATTTAGATTAGCATGCTAACAACACTGGGAAAGTGAAAACGAAGCTGTTCTTCAGTTGTCCTTTCCTTTGCTTCTTATCTTATATAAACCAATACCTTTCAAAAGTTTATCCAGACCTACTCAATCTTCACAGCCCAGTCTGAACCCATTCTGTCTGGATCATCATCCTTGTTCACTGCAGTTCTCTGTCCACTGCATTCCCCATGAGGGACATTCACTGGATTACCCAATCATTCACTTTGTGGTACCTTGAAACTAATTTCTCACATGCATGTTAATTCCCTCAATAAAACTAAGTTCCTTGATGGCAGAATCTCTCTTAAACTTTTTATTTTAAAGATTTTGGTCTGGCATAGTAGCCTAGTGGCTAAAGTCCTCACCTTGCATGTGCCAGAATCCCATATGGGCACTTGTTCATATCCTAGCTGCTCCAGTTCCCTTCCAACTCCCTGCTTGTAGCCTGGGAAAGCAGTCAAGGATGGCTCAAAGCCTTAGGACCCTGCTCCCGTGTGGGAGACCCAGAATCTTCTGGCTCTTAGCCTCAGAACGGCTCAGCTCTGGCCACTGTGGCCCCTTGGGGAGTGAAGCAGCCAGATGGAAGATCTTCCTGTCTCCAATAGGAAAGTCAGATTTACACAGAAAAGGAAGATATCCTCTCCCTATGCTTCATCATTTGTTAGCTGAAAGGCAGTGACAGAGAAAGAGGGAAAGACAGATCTTACATGTGCTAGTTTAATCCCCAAATGGCCTCAGTGGCTGGGACTGGGCTAGGCCAAAGTCAAGACCTTGGAACTCCATCCAAGTCTCCCATTTGAGTGGCAGAGGCTCAAGCACTTGGGCCATTTTCCACTTCCTTACCAAGAGCATTAGCAGAGAGGGCCCTGGAAGTGCAGCACCTGAGACCCAAACTGGTACCCAAATGAGATACTGATGTTGCAGGCAGAGGCTCTAACCCACTGCATCACAATGCCAACTTTTTTTTTTTTAATTATCAGAAAGATTTACAAAGAGAAGGAGACACAGAGACGAAGATCTTCCATTTGCTGGTTAACTCCCTAAGTGGCCACAATATCTGAAGCTGAGCTAATCTGAAGCCAGGAGCCAGGAGCTTCTTCTGGGTCTTCCACGTGGGTGTAGAGTCCCAAAGCTTTAGGCTGTCCTTGACTGCTTTCCCAGGCCACAGCAATGAGCTGGATGGAAAGTAGAGCCACCAAGACATGATCTGGCCCCATATGGATTCTGGCACATGCTAGGTGAGGATTTAGCCATTAAGCCATTGCACAGGGCCCTCAAAAAACGTTTTAAAAGGAATAAATCCTGGTTCTAGTAGTGAAAATCTTCATTTGATTTGAGAAAATTCAGAAACCAATCTGAATCTATTTCACCAGAAAGTATTTGGATGGTGGGCTTCCTCACCACACTCCAATACAGAAGAACACACTTAAAAGCAATTATCACACAGTTAAAAGATACATAATGAATGCCCAACCTAGCAGAATTTAGTATGGGAGACCTACCTAGAAGCTACCCTATGCTACTCTTTTACTAATGACCCTAACTTAAAGGAGATCCTCCATTTCTACAGCTCAAATGGGCATTTAGTTCTTAATCACATTTATCTGCGGACTCCAATGTTGTTGACTCACTGAATCAGATGACTACTACCAGCTGTATAAGTGTGCTGAGTGAGGAGGATAAGAAATACCTTACTTCTCTATTCGTCAAGTGTTCAGTCCTAAAATTCTTACAGACATTGGTACTCTCAGCCAAAAACTTCAGACTAAAGAGCTATGTCAAATTAAAACTGAATCCAAACTTTAGTTCTTCAGTGCTCTTCCACATCCCACATTTGAATGTGTGGGTCCAATTTGTGGTTCCAGCTGTGAATTTCAGCTTCCTGCCAACACAGACCCTGGGAAGCAACAGTGGTGTCGCAAGCGATTGCCCTCCTTCACATCCTTCACATCACATCCCCCCTGGGAGACCTAGAATGGAATTCCCCTTACCAGGTTCAGCGAAGGCCAAGTCTTGGCTGTGGCAGGCATTAGAGAGTCAACCAGCAGACACCAAGCAACTTTTTAAAAAGGAGCTACCAACCCAGTTCAGCTATGCAATTTTCATCGTATTTAAAATACTACAATGGTATGAATAAAGACCTTTAAAAACAAATACAAAATCTACGACCTGGTGAATTCACAATTAGTAAAACAGTAGCTAAGTACTTTCTACATTCTAGACACTAAGCTAAACATTTACCTTAAAGTACCACAAAAACTGGTTAATTATTATTACACAAAAAGGGAAGCTTGGAAACTAGCAAAATAAGTGACATAGGTGGGATTTAATTTCAATTCATAATCTGGAACTTTTTTTTTGCTACCACCCTATAATAGGAACATAACCTTGGTAAATAAGTCCCAAATACAGCAGCATTTCTAGACGCAAGAGGCTCAATTACATGGCAATTTTAAGTATTTTTAAATACACAGTAGTTACATAAATGTAGCCAAGCCACCCAACAGAATATTATGTAGCCATTACAAATATTTTTACAAATCATACAGTAATGTAGGGAAAGGTATATAAATAGAAAGCACAGAATATAAAATTCTCCATTGTTAAACCAAAAAAATTATATAATGCACATGAAAGATCTAAATTTACTGCTAAATTAAAAAGGTAAGTTGCAGAACATACATAAGAGTACTTCCAAAAGTACACAAAAAATTCATACTATGAAATAATTTGTACGAATTTCATTCTTTAACCAAAATAAAATTTGCTTTTTAATTCGTTTTTTCCACAACTGCAAGATCCACTTGCCTTGTACTGACTTTTGGCCTACTTATGGCCAAGGATAAATTGAAAATAAATACTTTAGATTTTTTTCCTCCTGTCTCTGCTGAGTTATATGTAAAAGGCAAAAGAGTTATACAATTTGAAGAGAAATCAGAGTATCCTGCTGAGGTATATATAACATCTGCCAAAAGTGATAATGAGCATAAAGTAATAGAAAATTAGACAATTATAATTGTGAAGAAGCTGTATGATTCCCCCCACATTACATGGTACAAGATTACAAAACCACCACACACATAAAACAGTTTGGCTGTTCTAATGAACCTTTACCTGTGTCATGCACCACCAGACCATTGCAGAACATGGCATGTCGCTCAATCTTTGAAGGAGGGAAGCCTTGGTCACACAGCGGACAGGAGACCTGGCTACTGGATGGCATGGCAAAAGCAGGTACTTCCTTCTTGGTATCTTCCCTATTACCAACCTAAAGAACAGGACAAATACCTATTTTAACAATCTTCATTTACAAAACATATTTTCCCCTAAAGACCTACAAGAGATCCCAACCTATATTTCACTTAAGGGACCACCAAGTACTTGAGGGTTATTAGTTATAGGAAACTTCCCAACAAAGGATGATCAAGATCCCTGCATTAAATGCAGTCATATTGGCATTTAACGTATAGCCTCTTGTATACCTCAAATCATCTCTAGATAACTGATTATATACCAAATAGAATGCTTATACTATACAGTTATTATATTGTCCAGAGAGTAGAAAAAAAATATGTACATGTTTACCATAGATGCAAACATCACAGGTCTAACTATATTTTCAATCTGTAGTTGGCTGAATCCATAGATGAAAAATTTCATACCACTAAGACATACTTTTTGCATATAATAAAAGTGTCATCAACCAGTAGTCACTTGCATAAATCCAAAAATATGATAAATCTTTTAGACAATGAATTGTCCTGAAGCCAATCTCAAGCCCTTTCTCTTTTCCTCTCAACACCTTATATCACCACTCTCTCTATAGCAAACAGTCTCTCAGAGGCAGTTTTATTTTACTTGCACAGTTTGGTATGAGCCAAGAACTCTGCAGTGATTAACTCAACAGTATATGTGAGCACTGCAGCACTACTGCCTAACACTTGCTTTAAAGACAGCATGTCCTGTCAAATCAATGTCCTGCACAGCCAGGGCTTCCATTTAAGAGCAAAGAGCATTCTAGGCTGTCATTACACCTGACTACTAGGGGAAAAAATAAACCTTCCTCTGGGCTGAGAATTAAACATAACAAAAAAGTGCAATGAATAAAAATTTTATTTCTGATCCATCTGGGGTTTTTGCTTTGTCGTATCTTGATTTCTAATTTTAGGCCATCCTTAACTGTACTGCTTGAGTATGATCACAAAGAGAAGAAAATAAGCCAACCAAATACCCAGTAAAATCATTTTTATACCTGCCAAAAATATCCTGTCCTTGACTAAACATATTCTAAAGGTGGAAAAATACACGAGAGAAGAACTAACAGTGAGTGAGTTCTTACAAGCATTTCCACATCCATCCCTCTAAACATCTCCAGAGATGTATGTATCATATCAGCTCCAGTGTATAGAAGGGAAAACTAAAGCTTGAAAGGAAAAGTACCCTGCTGATCGCAAAGTTAGTAAGTGGATAACCCAGGCCTGCCTGTCATCAAGACCCTCAGTAATTCTACACTATGCTGTGGTTCACATAAGCAACTTCACTTCTACTTTGTTTCTGGAAGCTGATGGCTCCATCTATCAGGAGACTGTCTAGTTCCATTACTCTCTCTAGGAAGCAGGGACAGTTAACTTAGTGGAAATTTTCAGCGCTCTTTATTCCAAGCTTAATCACGGAGCTTCTTACAAAGGTCCCTCTGTTCAAAAATTTGAAACACTTTTGAAACAAACCTATTTGAGCTGGGGTGGGGAAAGGAGGAAGGGAGAGGAAGGGCATTCCTTAAGGTTTGTGAGGACTATGGAATTACTGAAAGTTAGTGATGATGAGTCACAGCTTTGAGAAACTTTTGTTGCTTTGCTCCTTTCTTGTCCTGGATGATCTCTTCCTTCTTCTGCCCCTCCTTCTCATTGCCCGCCGCCTGAGACTGCTTCTTGGGGGGCATTGCAAGGTAGGGAGCACTGGCCAGGCTGGGACGCGGCTGGAGACTGGCAGAGGATCAGACCCCATGGCGGGAACAGGAGGGAGAGCCCGCCACTGCCGGACCATACGGAAAACACCTCCCCTTATGTTTTTATAGCATAAAAACCTAAAATAATGACTGACAAGTATATAAACTATAAATATCTGCTCAATAAATGAACAAAATTGTTGATTTCTTTTCCCAGCACCACAAAGTAATTCCTGGTAGTTACACTGTTTTACTAGACTAAATGTGAAAAATACGTACTAAAAATCTTAATCAGAATTATAATCCTGTATCTTTCAGCTTTATGGTTATTATTAGACACATAAAGTTAGGAAAGGTAATAATACAAATACATTTGCTTATTTTATTATGCAACTATGTTGACTTTCTGATTACATCTAGAAATTAGGGGTAGAACATGTGTTTCTGTCATGATATAAATACAGTGATTTTTCCCCAAGACTATTCATCCACTGCTTAAGAGTACATAATTAAAAATGCCCTAGAATTTTGGAAACAAACCTGTGTTCAAATTCTAGTTCTACTATTAGTAACAAACAGAGCAACTTTGAATATCCTGGGACCAGTGTTGTGGCACCGTGAACTAAGGTGCCATGTGGGATGACAGCATCTCCTATCAGAGTGCCAATTTGAGTCCCACTGCCCCACTTTAATCCAGCTTCCTGCTAATGTGCCTGGTAAAGCAGTTGCTGAGGGTGCAAGGAATTGTGCCCTTGCTATCCATGTGGGAAATCAGGTGCAGTCCCTGGCTTCACCTGGCCCAGACCTGGCAGTTGTGGCCCTTTCGGGGAGGGAACAAATGGACAGATGTCTCTAGCTTTCAAAAATCTAAAACTTTCTAAAATTTATTCAAAATAATAAACCTTTGTCTTCCCATTTATAACTGAAATATTAATACATACATACTTAAGAAGTAGTAACCATTATTATCATTAGAAACATGTCGATCCAATTTTAACCATTAGTTTCTTTATTTCAAAGATATTCCAAAAGCTAAAACCCTCTGCCCTAATCTTCTCAACCAAGAAAAACATTTTATCAGAAGGACTACTAACAGAAAGAAACCACTGAGAAAAACTACAGAGCAGAATATTCACCTTCTCTGTTATTCTGATTTCATCTGGGTTTTCTTTGTTATCTGGAGAGACTTCTCTTTCAAGGTCAAGAATTTCAGGGGAACTTGGCTGTGTCTCTGTAATTTAAAAAATTCTTTATTAAAATATAATTACATTTTGTGTTTCCATAATTAAAAAACAAATACCCATTTTACCCTCAAGTTTAGGGTATGATAATATTGTAGTGGCAATAGAATTCTAATTTATTTCTTCTTAAAGCTTCACTAGGGAATAATCTACATACAACAGAATTCATCAATGTTCAATACACAGTTTAGTAAGTTTTAAAGAACATATAGGGCCCAGCGGCGTGGCCTAGCGGCTAAAGTCCTCACCTTGAACGTGCCGGGATCCCATATGGGCACCGGTTCTAATCCCGGTGGCTGCACTTCCCATTCAGCTCCCTGCTTGTGGCATGGGAAAGCAGAGGAGGACAGCCCAAAGCCATGGGACCCTGCACCCATGTGAGAGACCTGGAAGAAGTTCCTGGCTCCTGGCTTCAGACTGGCATAGCATCAGCCGTTGCACTCACTTGGGGAGTGAATCATCGGATGGAAGATCTTTTTCTCTGTCTCTCCTCCTCTCTGTATATCTGACTTTCCAATAAAAATAAAGAACATATAGCATTTATACATAGTGCCACTTATACAACGTAACTACTAACTAATGAAGATATAAAATATCTTCAGCCCCAAAAGTTCTCTTGTGCGCCTTTGTATTAATCCAGCACCACTGTGCAATAACCAATCTGCTCCGTGTCCCTATGGTTGTGCCTTTTCTAGGATGTCATATGGAGTGGAATCCCATCGTGTATAGTCTATACGCTATGTGAGCTTCCCTCACTTAGTATAGTAACTCTGAAGTTCATCCTCTGTTACTGTACATGTCAGTACATTGATCCTTTTCATTGTGGAGTAGTACTCCATTGTTAAATGCACCATTGTTAGATGTGTGTATTCAGTTGGCTATTTGGCTTATTTCCACCATAGTTCTAAAGTATATCAATTTTGACAGGAAAAAAAAACCTGCCAATGCTAGTGCTGAGATGAAAACAAAAACAAAAACAAGACCTACATAAAATTGAAATCGGGACCAGAATAGAATTCTAGACATAAATGCCTTACTTTAATATATTCTTTTGAAATTTTAAATCATTTTTGTTCATTTTGTTTGAAAATCAGAGAGGCAGAGAGAAACCCTGCCATCCCAACCGCCCCCCCCCCCACTAAATTTTTTTGAAACACACAGAAAGATCTTCTACCTGTTGGTTCACTCCCTAAATGCCTGCAGCAGCTTGGGCTGAGCCATGTCACAACCAGGAGACAGGTACTCAGTCAAGGTTTCCCAGGAGAGGCAAGGACCCAAGTATTTGAGACATCTGACTGCTGCCTCCAGGGTACACATTAGCATGAAGCCACATTAAAAGCACAGAAACCAGGACTTAACCACACATTCCAACATGAGATATGGGCATCCCAAGAAGTTTAACCACTATGCCAAACATCTGTCCTAATTTAGTCTTTGTTACAGTAATTTAAAAAAAGAGAGATAAAGGGGAAAGAGACAAAGTGATCTTCCATCTGCAGGTTAACTTCCCGAATAGTTGCACAGCTGAGGCTGGGCTTATCCTGTGCCCACGAGTCCATAACTCCACCCAAGTCTCTCATGTGGACAGCCGGGGCCCAAGTACTTGGATCATCTTTCTGTGACTTCCCAGGCAAATCAGCAAGTAGCCAGATGGGAAGCACAGCTGTCAGAACACAAATCTGCACTCATAACCTGCTTGGTCAGGGCCAGTACAGCTGATCCTCCACCTCCAAGCACAGCATCCTATGTGGGGTACCAGTTCATGACTCAGCTGCTCCACTTTCCACCCAGCTCCCTGCTTGTGGCCTGGAAAAGCACTGGAGGATGACCTGGGTCCTTGCTGACAGAAAGGTTAACAGAGCCACTGTTAATATTGTGCATTATACCAGGCAATGTGCCAAACACTCTACAAACACAGGATTACACTTAGCTTTTCTCACAACTGTGACAGCCAACCATCTTTGCTTTATTTTACTAAGAAGAAAACAGAAATGCAGAAGTGCTACCAAATTTGTCCAGTGTCACATAACTAGAAAGTACCTTATCCTAGTTGAAACTGATGGGCAGGCATTTTGCACAGCAGCAACACACTGTGGAATGCCCGTGTCCTGTATTAGAGTGCTTAGATCCAGGTTTCCCCTCTACTTCTAGCTCTAGCTTTGTGCTAATGTATACCCTGGAGGGCAGTAGTTGATGGTTCAAGGACTTGGCTCCCTGCCACCTGCGTGGGAGATCCTGAGTGAGCTCTTGGCTCCAGTATTGTGGCACAGTGCATATGGCTGACGCATGCACTCCATGATGGGCATTCATTCAGATCCCAGCTATTCCATACCAGAAGTAGCTCCGTACTAGGGGCACTGGAGAAGCAGCTGAGCCCTTGCTACCCATGTGGGACACCTGGATGAAGCTCCTGGTTTCCACCTGGCCCAGGTCTAGCTGTTATTTGAGGAGTAAACCAGCAATGAAAAATCTCTCCGTCTCTGTCTCTCTCTCTCTCTCTCTCTCTCTCTCTCCACGTCTCTGCCTCTCTATGTTCTGCCTTTTGAATAAATTAATTTTTAAAAAAAATCTAACTGGAGTAAAAAGCTCTTAGAAAAACCTGCTTAATGGCAAGCCAACCTGGGGAAACATAAACCAAAACACAGTCCTCCTTGCTCTGAGTATACATTTAAGTAAGTGCTACACTAGAGGCTTTGATGGTCTCTGATGAGGTCAGTAAACAAACAAGCTGATGGGGCGTCATATTAATTTCAAAACTAAATTATTCTCAAGAAAAGGTTGAGAATCAAAACCAATGCCCATTAACAATAAATCTCTATGTGTATATGTGCATTGTATGTATGTTATTTGGAAATACATATTTACACATGTTGATTACACATAAATCTCCTGAGAATAAGCTTAAATACAAAAATGAACAAGCATGATAAGGCAGAGGGGCTAAGTTTCAGAAATTCAATTTACAAAATGAGGGGTACCTACCAGGACAAATAGTGATTTCTTCTGCAGAACTTGGAGGCATGAGGACTGAGCTTCTCTTACTGGGCAAAGCAGCAATGCTGAAAGAGAACGAAACTCTGAGCGAATTCCAGCAAAATAAATCAGAACATGGAACCAAAAGCAAGTCACTCACAAAGCCATGGGTAATCTGATACCTGCTGTCCAATACTGCAAAAGCTCAACAGGGAAGCAAAGAATAGCGAAAACACTAGCCCAAAAAAGGGAAAATAAACATGTCTATAGCCTCAGTTTCAGTGAAATTACTGAATGAAAAGCAGCCCCCTTTTAGCCTCTTCACACAGCAAGGGTCAAAAGTAATAACTGTATCACAGAACCCAAAATTCCATTCCAGTACAATGAATCAGAGCTGTTTTATAGTCTCCATCTCAGCTTTCTGAAGGCCAAAGATTCTGCAAACAGAAAAGTCATGGAGACTCTCTTGACAACACACTGGCTTTTCCCATATCCTGTGGTTAAATTTCCTCTATCCCAAAATGTGGCCCTCTAAACAACAAAACCACAATGCAATTCCAAACTGTCCTACAGCAAAAATCTGCCCATTAAGTTGAGTATTTTCTTCTAAGAAAAAACTTAATTATGACTGTCTTCCCTCATCTAACTGCTCGGTTTTCCCTGCTTCTTTATGGAGTTCAATCTCTTCCTGACATAGAAATCCACGGCTGGGAGATCCAAGCCACCTGGGATTGGCCCCTCAGACGTCAACAGAGCTTTACGATTACTTTGATCAAATATGCAAGACTCACAAACCCTCACATCAACCAAGAACCACCAAGGATGGACAATAGTCACCACTGTCTCATGATAAATAACCATCCTGTCAGCAAACCACAAGTGATTTCTTCCTCTAAATAAAATATTTCATAGCATTTGTTATAAACTCAAATCAGACAGTTTACTCTTCAAGGAACACTAGAGCTCTATTCAAAAGGTCCATCACAAAACAATTTGTTGACATTTATAAAATAGGCTAATCAATTTGAAGTCAAACCACATTGCCTGCAATTCTAACTCTCTCCTGGTGACAAAGCGTATAATCATTTATTAAAACCTACATCTGTTCTACATGAGGCTCACCACAATAAAGCAGAAAGGCCTACAGAGAGAAGTCCTATTCCAGGTTTAAGCACTTCCAAAACTATCTTAATAGCAGGAGAATTAAACCAAAGCTGTGTTCTTCAGCCCAGGAAGAAATACTTAGCACTATCAACCAAAAGTCTAAGAGAACATCACCTAAATTATAGCAGACTGCAACTGAGCCTCAACTTCCATGAAATGAAAGCCACTCAATACAAAATCAAACACATAAGTAATCCCACCAATTCAACTACTAAACAAAGGGGAAAATAATTGGAAGCCTGATTTAATTAACAGTACCGTTTGTAACCAAATAACCGTTATCTATTATTAGTACAAGAAGACTTACAAGGTGATACCATCAATCAATCATAATAACGGAGGAAATAATTCAAATATAATAATTAATGGAAAAGATTATATACAAAGTAGCACACAACAAACAGAATGACATAGGCTCTGTGTGATCTGAATAATACGATATGAAGCTGCTAAGAGGTTGTAAGTATAAAAATAGACTAAAAGATTTAAAAGGTTGGGGCTGGCACCATGGCATGTAGTAGGCTAAGCTTCCACTCATAGCACCAACGTCCCAAATTGGTTTGAGTCCAGCTGCTCTACTTCCAATCCAGCTCCATGCTTACGACCAGGGAAAATAAACAGAAAGGTTCAAGTCCTTGAGGTCCTTCACCCCATGGGAGACCCAGAGCAGGCTCTGATCGACTCAGTTCCAGCCACTGTGGCCACCTGGAGAGTGAACCAGCAGCTGGAAGATCTCTGTCTCTACTTCCCTCTGTAAATTTGCCTTCCAAATAAATATTCTAAAAATAAGTAAAAGGCTTGAAAGTGCAAATAAACAGGAAACAAAAGAAAATTTGAAGATAGACTATCAATCACTCTGGAGATTTCAAACTGGCATAGTGTGTATAGCTAACCTAAGAGGAATACAGCATTGTGTCACAGCAAGTCAGGATGTCACTTGCAATGTTGGCTTTCCATTATCAAAGCACCCAACATGGTCCTGGCTATTCTGCTTCCAATCTAGCTTACTGCTAATGTGCCAAGTACTTGGGTCCTTGCCACAAATGTGAAAGACTTTGTTGGATTTTCTGGCTGCAGGCTTCAATGTGGCCCAGATCTGGCTGTTGTGGCCCTTCGGAGAGAGCGCCAAAAGAAGATCTCTGTGTCTCCCTCTCTGCCTTTCAAATAAATAAATATTGAGAAGAGCAGCAGGACATGATCACTTTTCAAAAATAATAAACAAAACATGCTAACATGGCTGAATTGGGCAAGAAAACCTCTAAGCCTGGCCCTAACAATCTAGCCCTCTGTAAGTTGTATATCTGAGAATCTGTAGATCATAATGGCTGCTCCTACCCTGTGCATGTAGAAGAGCTCATTGGCAAGCTGTCCAAGCACAGTTTCACCACGTGATTCCTCTTCGAGACACTGGCACAAGGCAGAACCCAGACTCTTAGTCCTATGTAACCTTACCTCTGGGAAGCAGGCACAGAGTTTCCTTCTTCAGAAGTTTCTTCAACAAATAACCCCTGGGAAGACTGTGAGGAAAATGCAACACTTTAAATGTACAGTCATAGACTAGCTGGTATCTTTCTTTAAAAAATTAATTATTCAATATCATTCAGCAGTTAGAAAGAAAAGATTTTATATAAGTCAGTAAGCTTCGGTTTTTAAAAAAGGGGTGGGGGGAGGATGCGGAACATACCTTGTCAGGGCCAGAAAGCTGGTATTTAAGTCAGTTTGTAATCTTGGCTAAATCACAGCTTCTTCCTCATTTTAAAATTAACAATTACCTTGCAGAATGTTACTATGAGAATTAAACAAGATAATGTGTACACTGCACTTTGTAAAATAGAAGACTTATGCAAGTTTTAATTGCAAGTCAAATGGATGATTTCAGAAAACCAATTATTAGGCTTTTGTTTTAAAGAGGAAAACAGAAAATAGTCCAGTTTTCAATGGAAACATAGGACAAACACTGTAATTCATCAAAGAAGTCTCTGAGCAGCAGCATGCTGTAACCTAAGACATTCCAACGGAAGAGAAGAGATTTTTGCTACAGATTCTACCACAATGGTTTTGGTATCTGACTTCAGGATACCTCATAAGGAAAAACATTTTCATTCATAAGTGGTAGACATTGTGCATTTGTCAATTTATGAAACATATATACACAGAAACAGACAGAAAAAGCAGATACTACTGCCTTAGGCAGACTTCTGATCCAGCACTTTGTGAGGCTTCTCTAATAAAAGGTGTTGGCTGAACTTTCTCCATTTCCTAACAGACGGGCAGGTGTCTGGGCTACCAGTTAGGATACCTCCTGGGATGCCAGCATCCCATATTAACCCCGCCTCCACTTCAAATGCCAGCTTCTGCGAATATAATCCTGGGAGGCAGCAATGATGGCTCCCGACGTGGACACCCAGCCAAGCTCTGGCTTCAGTGTGGCCAGCCCCTGCTACTGCTGGCACTTGAGGAGTGAACCTCTGATGAAAATTCTGTATCTCTCAGCCTTAAATAAAATTTAAAAAATAATAAACTTTGAAAACTTAAGTAATTTCCTACCACCTCATGTAGTCTATAAAAAAGACAAGAATAGCTGAATTAAACCTCAGTAAAAGAACTGCAAAATTTACAGCAATCAGGAATGAAACAAAAAGTTAGAGCTAAACAATACTATCAAAAAGACTAAAATACAACAGCAAAACTCTGAACTCAGCAGCAAATGGCTTTAAAGTAAACCCTGCCACCTAGTGTTGAATGATTGGAATTTTTCTTTAAAAAAAAAGATTTTTATTGGAAAGTCAGAGGAGAGACAGAGAGGAAGGTCTTCTCGCTGATGATTCACTACCCAAGTGGCTGCAAGGGCTGGAGCTGAACCAGGAGCCAGGAGCTTCCTCAAGGTCTCACATGCGGGTGCAGGGTCCCAAGGCTTTGGGGCCATGCTTGACTGCTTTCCAAGGCCATAAGCAGGGAGCTGGATGAAAAGCAGAGCCACCGGAACACAAACCAGCACCCATAGGGGATCCCAGCACATGTAAGGTGAAGACTTTGGCCACTAGGCTAAGCCTTAAGACCCTGCACCCACATGGGAGACCAAGAAGAAGCTCCTGGCTTTTGGCTTCATTTCAGCTCAGCTCCGGTCACTGCAACCACTTGGGGAATGAACCACTAGATAAAGATCTTTCTTTCTCTCCCTCTTTCTGTAAATCCGCCTTTCAAATAAAAAAAAAATCTCTTAAAAAAAGCGAAATATCAACTTGAGTTGATGCACACCCTGAAAGGTAGCAGGCAGGGCCTGGCACAGTAGCCTAGTGGCTAAGGTCCTTGTCTTGCACCAGGATCCCATATGGGCACCAATTCTTGAACTGGAGGCCCAGCTTTCCCATCCAGCAACCTGCCTGTCACCTAGGAGAGCAGTCGAGGATAGGGCCCTGTACAGTAGCCTAGGGGCTAAAGTCCTCGCCTTGCATGTGCCAGGATTCCATATGGGTGCCGGTTCTAATCCTGTCAGCTCCACTTCCCATCCAGCTCCCTGTTGTGGCCTGGGAAAGCAATCAAGGATGGCCCAATGCCTTGGGACTCCGCACCAGCATGAGAGACCCAGAAGAAGCTCCAAGTTCCTGGCTTTGGATCAGTGCTGCTCCAGCAGTGGTGTCCACCTGAGGAGTGAATCAGTGGACAGATGATCTCTCTCCTCCTCCTCTCTGTATATCTGCCTTTCCAATAAAAATAAATCAACTCTTTAAAAAAAAAAAAAAGTAGTAGGTAGTTGAAGCTGCCACCTAGGGAAGATCTATACTGAGTCCCTGGCTCCTGGCTTCTGACCACTGCCCACTACAAGCATTTGGGGAGAGAATCAATACAAGCAATCTAAATGTCTCCAAATAGATAACAACTACAGTAAATTATAGAAAACTGCAAGCAAAATCAGAAATGTACCACTAGGGGAAGGGAGGATTAAACTGAGAAACTATCTGTTCTTTATGCCCTAGATAAAGGATTACTTTCTTCTAAAGTGCCTACAAATTAGTTAAAAAATTGAATAGACAAAAAAAAAAAAATACAAGTGGGTTTCAGATATATACAAAAAAAGCTAAACCTCACAAATAATAACAGAAATTAAAATTCAGACTACAATGAAACAGCATTCTCCCGATCTTAAGAATGGCAAAGAGCAAGATGTCTAATCTTGCACTGTAAAATTCATACATTACCTGGTAGGAGACTAAACATACAATGACTTCTCTCAAGGGCAATTTGGCAATATTTGACACATATATCTCCTTTGATCCATCAACCATATCTAAAGGAAACTATGCCCATGAAAAAGAGTAACCACTGAAGTATTGTGTCTAATGTAAAATATTACAACCAAATGTTCATCAATACAAACTGGATAAAATAAATTATGACTCATCCATGATATATTCATATCAAAAATTCAGAAATTCTTCATGTGCTATTATGGAATGTCATGGAAATATTAAATGAAAATAGCATGGTACAAAACAATTGTGTGCTACAGAATATATATATGTTGCTTATATTACATTTATCTTAGATGATTACACTAGAAACCAGCAACACAGACTGAATCCAAAGAGCCAGAACTGCTTAACTGGGAGAATTTTTTTATTCTTTGAAAGACATAGTTACAGAATGAGATGAGGGGAAAGACAGATCTTCCATTCGCTGGTCACTTCCCAACTGGCTGCAAATGCCAGGGTTGGGCCAGGCTGAAGCCAGGAGCCATATGTTTCATCCAAATCTTTTACACTGGTAGTAGGGGATAAGTTCTCGGGTCATCCTCTGCTGCCGTCCCAGGCACATCAGAAGAGAGCTGGATCAGAAGTGAAGCAGCCAGGACTTGAACTGGAGGTTATATGAGAGGATAGCATGACAGAAGGCTTAAACCTGCTCAGCCACAATGCTGGTCCACTGCTGGAGAAATTTTGAGCTATGCGAATTTTATCTATTCAAACACTTTAATTAAATAATAATAAAATTTTTTAAAGATTTATTTGAAGGCAGAATTACAGAAAGATCATCTATTCGCTGGACCATTCCACAAATGGCAACAAAAGCCACGACTCGGTCAGGCCAAAGCCAGGATACTGGAACTCCATCCCCGTCTCCCAAATGGATGGCTGGGATATAAGTATTTAAAGCCATCATCTGCTGCTTTCCCAGACACAGGAATAGAGAGCTGGACCAGCAGTGGAACAGACGGGAATCAAGCCATCATATGGCATCATGGCATTATAGGCACAAGCTTAACCAACTGAGCTACAATACCAGACCAGAAATAAAAATTTTAAAAAGCAAAATATAAATTGTGGTATATGCATTTCAAGTATATTTAATAAACAGAAAAAGATCTAAGATAAATGGTGAATTATAAACAAGGATCAAGGTTCATACAGAAGAGTCTTCATTTTGCTCAAAAACTAAAAATGAAAACATATGCATACAAATGGTGATTGCTTCCTAGTTTTGGAATTACAGGTAATTTTTCTTCTTCATATTCTTCTGTACTCAGCTGATTTTCTACAGTGAGCACATAACTGGGGTGAAGACCATAAAAACAAATAGCTAATATAATCCTTCTTTAATCTGTGAATAAATCATCCTTAATTACAACATCACTAACCCTTACCTGACCAAGACTGGTTGTTGGTTCTTCCTCCAATAAAAGTTTCTCTTTCAAGCTTTTAACTTGGCTCTCTTGGAAATCCTTGGTTTTGGGGTGCCAGACAGATGCCCTAGACTCCTCCCTTTCCTCTTTCTCTTCATCTCCGATATCTTGTGAGATGCCTTCAGTTTTTTCACTAGTCTGATCTCCTTGGCCACATTCATTCTGGATCAGAGAAGGAGGTCTAGGTAACACTGGTTCCCCAAACTCTTTCTTTTTTAAGAGCTGTCTCTGAGCCATTTTCAGGCTCTTTTGATAAACTTCCAATTGGCAGAGAATGACCTTGGTATATTGATTTGGGTCTACTCCAGCAGGGCAGAATGGAATACCCCAGAAGTAATGCACACTGTCCCCAATGTCTTGAAGACCTTTGGCATCTGGAGAAGGTAGACAGTGCCTAGATGTAACCCCCCTGCCCTGGGAAGCTTTGAGAAAAGCACAACCCCTCCCAGTACTTTCCTGTGGCTTCCCATACTGTGTGTGGGATGCCAAGTGGCCAGTACATTTGTCAAAACAGTTAACGTTCTCATTCTCAAACACTGGCTGGCTTGACTGGTCCCAACTTCCTGAGCTGTCAGAGACCGGCTCCTCTTCAGTGTTTTCAGTGTGGTCCCAGGGCTCCTCTCTTTCCTCAGCCTCGTTTCCCTGACTTTTATGGGAGCCTTTAAACAGTGATGAAGGTACCAGCTGCCATACGCCTGTAGGTATTTGAGAAAAAGTAGCGCTAAGGAAAACTTTTTTATTAAGAGGGCTTGGTAAGCTATCACTTACCAAGAATTACATAATGTAGGTGACAAAGGATCTTCTTTGGGCTTAACAAAATGTTGGTTTTTTCCTTGAAGATAAAGGTATGCTAGGTATTAATGACATCTCAACTATTTTCTAATTGAATCTCTTTAATATCCACCCAATGGACTTTGGGTATTTTTATATATCTACTTTCACCATGAGATTCCTGTGATAAGCCTATACTTCCTGAGTGGAAGAAGTCATAACAGGGAGACATGCCTTCTTTGAGCCCAGAGTCTGTGGTTTTCTCTTGGTGAGTCTGTGAGGATGGTCCAGGGGCCAAAGGTTGAAGTCTGGTAGCAGAAGAATCAGAAGGCCGGCAACTCTGAAACAAGCGATTCCACACCAGACCAGGTTTATTATTACAATAGCCACACATGAAGAGTCACAGGAAAGACAAAAAGAGAGGGCACTGTCCCAAGGAGCTTCCCCTCTCCAAAAGCAGATGCTCAATTTAAACAAATCCCATTACATGTACTGAACACCTGCATACAAACAGATACGCTACGTCACTGTACTAAATCATTGTCAAACATACAGACACAAATGGTCTAGCTCAAGACCTGCCACTGGCAAGTATTTTTCACATTTAAAATCATTTCAAGTACATAATCAAGTCACTCTTTAACATTATTTGATTATTCTTAAAACCATTCTTTCTCTCCACTACCTACCACTTTTCACACCCCTTGTCCCTCCCCTCAACAAATCAGGGGAGGTTAACGCCGTATCTTGCTTCCTTTTTTGGTTCCTGGTACTCTGTAACCTTTTCAGAAGCTGCCAACTTACTACGGTTCTTTTAAGCCGTGAACTGAGCAATCTGTAGGACAGAAGAAGACTCTTCCACATAGGATTAGCCAAACACTTCAAACTGAGTTAACCAACAATTCAACACAGGCTTTCAAATTCATTGTGGGAAAACCCTATAGGTATTATCAGTCAAAAAACATTGCTGATCAATCCCCACCAAACATTTTAAACAGCATATTTACATTTAAACTTTCAGCAATGGCTTTTCTCAAAAGCTGCTCTTCTTCTTCCTCCTGGTTGTTCGCTTCTCTAGCTTCCTGTTCACTCATTTTGAGAGCCAGAGCAAACTGTTCTTCTTCTGTCATCTCTGCAGGAGGATAGCAAAACAGGAAGGATTAAATACTGAATAATCATGGAGACAAAAAACTTTATTAAACTTTTCAATTGAAGATACTATACATAGACCATTTAGTACAATTTTATAATTTCATATATAAGCTAACTTCCAGAAATTAGGACATCAGCCAAGATTCTTAGCAGAAGATACAACAAAAGTCTGGGTTAATAAGACTTTAAGTTCCACAAAAGCAGAGTTTTTGCCTGTATTGTTCATCGGAGTATCTCTAGCACAACAGGGAATCTGACAGACGAAAGCCATTTAATAGATGTTTGGTGAATAAACTGAGGAACTGATTTCTACTCTGGAGCTTTTCACTAACGCTCATACTCAACTTTTAACCTGAATGATTTTGTTCTTCAGAATTTTTATTTACTCAATAAAAACAAATATCCTTAGTGACCAGAATGTGACCACCAAATACCATTTTTCCATTAAAAGCAAACAGTTTACACTGAGAAATGGCTGGTTCCAAGTCTAGAGCATGAAATACATAAGACAAACTAAAACATTTGTTGTATCTGTGAGCAAGTAATTTATCACTTACTATAAAAGCCATATCAAAAGAACTCAGGAGTCAACTAAAAAAAATTTTTCATTGGTCAAAATCAAACTATAGTATCAAAAAGGATAATGACTGCAATGAATTAAAATATGTCAAATATGTTTCCAGTGCTTCATTTAATGTCTGGCATATAAACGGGGATAAAACAGACACATACTAAATTAACTGTAAAACCAATAAGAACATCCAAGTTGGGGCAGAAAGAAGTATTCTGATTGCAGCTAGCTCCAAGTCTACACCATCTAACTGACAACTGAAATTCAGTCAGGAGGCTTCAGCCCCACTCCTTCTATCTAAGTCTACACAGCGGGATTCTCAGTGGAGTCTGCATTCTAAGAACTAATTTTCAAACACTTGGGGAAGATATCACACCCATTCAGAGCCACATGAACAAAAACCATAAAAATTTACTGATATAAAATCACTCACAGCAGCTGGCACTACCAGCTTTTTATTTGGGGACCACTTAAAGTCGCGGTTGCTCCACTTCAGATGTAGTTCCCTGCTAATGCAACTAGAAAAGCAGTAGAGAATGGCCCAACTGCTTGGGTGTCTCAGCCACACGGAGACCAGAAAGAAGCTGGCTTCCAGCAGGTCCAGCTCCAGCTATTGCGGCCATTTGGGGAGTAAGCCAGCAGACAGGAGACGCATCTCTGCTTTTCTCTCTGTAACCTTACCTTTCAAATAATTATTTTTTTAAACTTCACAGTACTCTTTCATTACCCTTTTCACAACTGTAGAATCTTTAAGGCTATCTCCTTTTTTTCTCTTTATTTTTCTTACATATCCATTTACAGGTTTACATACTTTATTTCTTTACAGAATCAATGCTTAAAATTTGGCTCATCTTTTTTTTTTAATTTTACAGATTTATTTATTTATTGGAAAGTCAGATATACAGAGAGGAGGAGAAACAGAGAGGAAGATCTTCCGTCCGATGATTCACTCCCCAAGTGCACGCAATGGGCCGATGCTATGCCAATCCAAAGCCAGGATCCAGGAACTTCTTCCGGGTCTCGCACACAGGTGCATGGTCCCAAAGCTTTGGGCTGTCCTCGACTGCTTTCCCAGGCCACAAGCAGGGAGCTGGATAGGAAGTGGAGCCACTGGGATTAGAACTGGAGCCCATATGGGATCCTGGTGCGTTCAAGGCGAGGACTTTAGCCGCTAGGCCACGCTGCTGGGCCCTAATTTTGCTCATCTTTCATTTCACTGATTTCTGCTCTACTTTATTCTTCCTACATGCGCATTCTTCATAGTCTAGTTTCTTAAGATGAGGCTTGGATCACTAATTCACAATGTTAATTTTTGGAGCCAGTGCTGTGACACAGAAAGTAGAGCCAAAGGCTACAACACCAGCATCCCATATGGGTGCCGGTTAAAATTCCGGCTGCTCTGTTTCAAATCCAGCTCTCTGCTAATGTGTCTGGGAAGGCAATGAAAGACAGCCAAGTATCTGGGCTACTGCACTTACATGAGAAACCTGTAAAAAGTTACTGGCTCCTGGCTGTGGCCTGGCCCAGAGCCACTTGGGGAGTGAATCGGCAGATAGAAAACCTCTGTTGCATCTCTCCTTCTATGTCTGCAATTCTACCTTTCCATTAAATAAATCTTTATAGATTTTTAATTTTTTCTCATGTGGTTATATAAACTGCATTTCCCCATAAATGTTGCTTTAGTTATATCTCACAAACTTAGATTATATTCTTATTCTCATTAAAATCATTTTGAATTCAACTGAGTACATTTAAGTTATTTTTAACATATAATTTTATTGGAAAAGCAGATATACAGACAGAAGAAGATACAGAAAGATCTTCCATCCACTGGCTCACTTCCCAAGTGGCTGCAACGGCTAGAGCTGAGCCAATCCAAAGCCAAGAGCCAGGAGCTTCTTCTGGTTCTCCCATGTGGGTGCAGGATCCCAAAGCTTTGAGCCGTCCTCGACTGTTTTCCCAGGCCACAAGCAGGGAGCTGGATGGGAAGCGGCGCAGCCAGGACATGAACAGGCACTCATATAGAATCCTAACACAAGCCAATGTGAGGATTTAGCCACTACGCTACATGCAGGACCCACATTTAAAGTTTTTAAAATTCTTATTTCTTTGAGATGCAGAGAGATACACTGACAGAGCTTCCATCTGGCAAGTGCTGAGGCTATGTTAGACTGAGGCCACAACTTCTGGCCCCAGAAATTCAATCAGCTCTCTCCTGAGGGTGGCAGGGATCCAACTACTTGAGTCTATCTGTTGTAACTAAGAGTATGGATTACCAGACAGTTGGAATTGGGAAGAAAGTCAGGACCTAAGTCAGGAACTGCAATAAGGCATGTGGCGATCCCAACTGGCATCTTTGTTGTTGCTGTTGTTAAGACTTACTCTTATTGGAAAGTCAGATTTACAGAGAGGGAGAGACAAAAAGAAAGACCTTCCGTCCACTGGTTCACTCCCCAAGTGGTCACGATGGCTAGAGCTGAGCTGATCTGAAGCCAGAAGCCAGGAGCTTCTTGCAGGTCTCCCACAGGGGCACAGGGTTCGAAGGCTTTGGGCTGTCTTCTGCTGCTTTCCCAGGCCACAAGCAGGATGGGAAGTGGAGCAGCCGAGGCACAACTGGTGCCCATATGAGATCCTGGTACATGCAAGGAAAAGACCTTAGCCACTAGGCTACTGCTCCAGGCCCTCCAACTGACATCTTAACTGCTAGGCCAAACTTCCACCCAAAGCTGCATGATCTATGCTTGGATTCAGTTTACAGATCACTCATCCTGATTTATTTTGTGTTATTTTTAAAAAGTGCAATATGTACTTATATATTTGTTGATACTGTTTCTCTTTTTTAATATATTCTACAATCTTTTCTTTTTGCACCTTGAGTGAATCAGTGACCTTTCAGCTTCAGGGTATTCAAATGCTTTCCTCCTTCTTAGATCCCTTGTCACCATCCGCTCTGTCCAGTTCGTATTTATTTTTCCTTTACAGCTCAGCAGGATCGTTACTTCCAACTCTACAGATAAGGTCAGTCTCCTACATTATCAATATTCATATAATTTTTAGTACCTATCAAAATAATTAAGTTGGGCCCAGCAGCGTGGCCAAGTGGCTAAAGTCTTCGCCTTGAACACCCCGGGATCCCATATGGGCACCGGTTCTAATGCTGGCAGCTCCACTTCCCACCCAGCTCCCTGCCTGTGGCCCGGGAAAGCAGCAGAGGACGGCCCAAAGCCTTGGGACCCTGCACCTGTGTGGGAGACCCGGAAGAAGTTCCTGGATCCTGTCTTCAGATCGGCATAGCATCACCCGTTGCATGCACTTGGGGAGTGAATCATCGGACGGAAGATCTTCCTCTCTGTCTCTCCTCCTCTCTGTATATCTGACTTTCCAATAAATAAATAAATCTCTAAAAAAAAAAATTAAGTAACCACTTAATAGCTATGTGTTACTATAAAATAGTGTCACTAACTGTAACATACACACTCCCGTACCAGATGTTGATGGTGGAGGAGATTAAATATGTGTACACACAAGAAGCATGTGGGAATACTACACCTTCTATATAATTTTGCTGTGAACCCAAACATTCTCTTAAAAAGTCTCTTCTTTAAAATTTAAACTTAGCAGGACAGTTACACAATAAATGTTACTTGTGTTTATCACAAAACTGTCACAGATTCAACTCAACCTCAATCAAAATCCCAGCATGCCTCTTCATAGAAGTGAAAATTGCCTCTAAATTCACGTAGAAAATTCTAAAACATAAATAAAATGCAAAGAGTCTACAGCAACCAACACCGTGAAGAACAAAGGTTAAAGAAACAGCATTGTGCTGCAGTAAGCTAAGCAGCAACACACACATCCTGTGTCAGAGAGCCAGAGTCCTGGCTGCTGTGCTTCTGACCCAGCTCTCTCCAACAACGCTCTGGGAAAGCAGTAAGAAGACGGCTCAAGTACCTGGACCCCTGGCACCCATGTGGGAGACCCATATGGAGCTCCAGGCTCCTACCTTTAGCCTGTACCAGCATGAGCTGTTGTCATTTGGAGAGTACACCAGAGGATGGAAAATCTTCATCACCCTGTCTTTCAAATAAATAAATCTTTAAAAAAGAGAAAAAAAGGGGGCCAATGAAGTGGCACAGCACACTAGTCCACCCTGGGCACTGTCATCCCTTATGGGCACAGTTCACATTCCAGCTGCTCCACTTCCCATCCAGCTCCCTGCCTGTGGCCTGGGAAAGCAGTCAAGGACGGCCCAAAGCCTTGGGACCCTGCACCCACATGGGAGACCTGGAAAAAGCTCCTGGCTCCTGGCTTCAGATCAGCTCAGCTTCAGTCTTTGCAAGCCGTTTGGAGAGTGAATCACAGGATGCAAGATCTTCCTTTCTCATCCTCTCTCTAAAAATCTGCCTTTCCAATAAAAATAAATCTTTTTTTTTTTTTTAAAAGCAACTAAACAATGAGAAAATAAGTTATCAAAACAAGGGTGAAATAATGTGATGAGAAATGAATCCTACATCCATATATAAAACTAAATGACAATTGAGCTGGTTAGATGGATCCAAGCTTCAATGCCATTTGCCATGTACGAGAGCCATGGGGGATGTGGGGCAGATTGGACTGGTCTGCCACACATATTGGCAAACCAGGGTAGGGGGTGGGCCTGGTGGGGGTTAGGCCACTCTCATCAGGATGCAGCTCCCACTGGTTTAAGACCGAGTATGTGCTGTGCAGAACCAGGCTGGACTGCAACACCCATTGGTTCCAGTAGAAAGCGGGGCTGAAAACAGAACCAACCCAGCAATTGCAACTACCAGCTGACTGGGTGATGGACTGTGCTGGGCCCTGTGCTTGCTGGTGCATACGAGTATCTGGCCTGGGAACACCTCAGACAAAGTTTCTTTGGTGATCTCCCCAATTGAAATGCCAGACTCAGAACCCTAACCATGAAGCGACAGAAGATGGAACAAGTTAATCAACCACCTCAGCTATAGGTTAGCAACAAAATACCGGGCAAAATAGAGACGCTATGATGGACAATGTCAATTAATGGATTTTTCAACAACCTCATCGTGTTTGGAGAGGCAAGATTGGCAGCAATTTCAAAACTGGTGACCTATTGAAACCACTTCAATGAGTATCTTGGAGCATGCCCCACATGCGGGACTTGGGTGGGTGGGGCTAGAATCCACAGGGTGTGGCCCACACATCGTCCACAGAATCTACCCCCGGATATAGTTCTTGAGTGCTAGTTAATGTCATGGCCCTGCTTAATGTGACCCATCTGCTGATCCATCATCATGTCAGGTAACAGGATATTCTGCTGGACAAGCCCCGACCCTTAGCTTTTGCATGAACTGGTGTTCGATGCTCAGCATTGTTAAGTGATTACAAGTTCTTCAAAGGAAGAGTTACTGTCACTGGGAGTCTTTAGGATTGACTCACATCCCAGAAGCACAGTGGGATCAACCCGGAGCTACCTAAGCAGCAATTCAAAGAACCAAAACCCCAGAGCTCCCCGGCCGGGCAGCCAGCAGGCGGGGCCAGGCGCCAAATGGCATACTGGCCCAGGGACAGCTCACCACATGCAAGTGGTAGCTGGAGTTGGGATCCAAGCAAGACGCCCCATCCTGAGGCCCACCACCATTTTTATTGCATTTTGTTGATGAGCAAACAGGAAAAAGCTGAAAACAATACATGACCAAAATCCATACAAGGCATAACACAAGGATCCAAGCCCAACTGTACCCAACTATGAAAGGAGGTCACACTTTAAATTTTAACATTCTGCCTCTACAAAATCTAAACTGCAGGTAATTCTATAAGCAACTCCTAAAAATTTAACAAGATTCCAAGATAAATCGGAAGCAAATCATTTAAAGAACTTATAATTAAAAAGTATCAAATCTACAATTTAAATTCCAAATCATTCTCAACACAAATTTGAAAACATACGTGCAATTTTTCTTGTAGCCAGACGCTTCGCTCTGTTAGACTGTTTTGTCTTTGTTTTCTGCAATCCATTCTGCTCCCTTGGTTCCTATTAAAAACCAAAAAATTATGTTAGGGTGGTTGTCATTAAAAGTAGCAGTTTCCAGGGCAGAAAATAAAGAAGTTGAGATCATTATGGTATAATGGGAGAAGCCACCCTGACATGGCAGTGTCCCATTTAAACACTGGCTCCAATCCTGCCTTGCTCCACTTCCCATTCAGCTCCTTGCTAATGTACCTAGGAAAGCAGGAATCCTTGGGCCCCTATACCCACACAGGAGATCAGGAAAAAACCCCTTGCTTCAACTGTAACCATTTCGGGGATGAACCAATAAATGGAAGATACCTCTCTGTCTAACTCTGCCTTTCAAGTAAATAAATAATAAAGTGTACAATGAACTATACACTTGAAACAGTTAAGACTGCAATTATAATGTTATATATACTTTGCAATGATAAAAAGGAACAGATGTTTGGTATAACAGATAATATTCTGCCTGTTTGAGATGTCCACAACATATGAGAACACTTGGATTCAAGTTCCTACTCAGCTCCTGGTCCCAGCTTCCAGCTAATATACACACAGGGAGGCAGCTGGTGATAGCTCAAGTACTTAGACTGCCACCACCCACATGGAAGATCTGGACTGGGTTCCAAGCTCTTGGCTGTGGCCTGACCCAATACCCTCTACTGTAGAGCCAGAGAGCAAGCCAACAGACAGCAGATCTCTGTTTCTATCTCTGCTTTTCAAATAAATATTTTTCAAAAATTTTAAGATAAAAATATGACCCCACCTCACACCAAAAGAAAAAGGACCTCAAACCTTTTTTTTCTTTAATGTATACAAGAGCCTAACTGGGATGCGGAACAGACTTGACTAGTATGCACTACAAACTGGCACATGTAGGAACTGGGGCTAGACACAGACCTGGTAGGGGTTACTGAAGGTCACCCTAACTAGGCTGTAATTCCCACTAGTGTGCACAGGGGCCAGGTCTGTGACACACTGGGCTGGGCTGGGCCGCAGCACCCATTGGTTTGCATAGGACATGGGGCTGAGGACAAAACTGACCTGGCAACTACAATCATCAGCTTAGGCTGATGCTGGTGACAACCTGAACTTGATCCTATACTGGCTGGCAAGTACAAGAGTCAGGTCTTGGGCCATCCCAGGTGAGGTTTCCTGGGGGACCGCCCAACTAGACCACTGAACTCAAATCCCAGCCACAGGGAAGATCATAGGTTCAACTTAGGAATGAATGCATATGTTAGGACTGGATCTCCTTAATTGCTGATGCCTGTGCAGTGGACAGCATGCCCAGGTCTATATGTGGAACAAGACAGCTACCTCGTTTGGCCTGCAGAGGACATTGAGTGCCAAGTCAGAGGTCAGAGCACAGAACGAGACGGACAACTCTCCTGGCTGAACTTTGGCAGCAAGTGTCTGGGTGAGTGGGTGCACTGGGGTGGGATTCTGTCAGACAGCTAAACTTTGAAAGGATTTTCTCAACTTTGGAGCAATGAAACTAACAGCATCTCAGAACTATCAAAACCACTCAAGCAATACTTTCAGAACATTCTTCGTCCACATCGGGATTTCTAAGATGATACCAAACGGAGTGAGTGCTGGTGTGGTTGGGCACCTAGAACAGCATGCTCTCTGTCTCCCCATCATCCCTCTCCATCCACTCAATACAGGAGAAAAGTCAAGAAAAAGAAACTGGAAGCATTTGTCCCACCCACCTTCTTCTATACCTTGACCCTCCCCACCCTAATCAGTGGCCCTCATGGATGTATATCCTTGTCAACTATGTAAGCATCAAAAGAAAAAAACAGAATAAGGAGAAGGTAAAATCAATCAAATACAATCCATTAGAAAGTGGCTAGCAGGTGGAATAAACAAACTCTATTGAACAAATAGAAATATGGGACAAAAGAAAGAAGTTGCGACCTAAAGAATTTTCCAATTAGGCTTTCTACAATGATGCAAATGCTGCATTGCTCTGCTAATTCAACAGACACTAATTTTACATGGTGGCTTTAATCACTTTAAAGGTAACTACTGCAGAAGAGGAAAGGATTTTTTTAAATTTGTGTTTAAATAGTTAAAAATGGCTGGTGCTACTATTTTGGATAAGTCCTATCTACTGACTTAATGAATTCATATTCTTGTACCCTTTCTAGACACGTTAAGATTTACATTTGGTTTACACTATTCACATAGCCTTAAAATATCATCTTGGATTAATACCATCATAAAACTGGAGAACTATGACCCATCCTCACTCAAAAAGGATGATTTCTTTCAAGTAATTTTAAGTTCATTTATAAATCAAAATGAAACTGAATAAAATTTTCATGTTTTTGGCAAGCCTATATTAACAAGTTGCAAAACCAAGTAACCAACAATAATTCTAATCTGAGACCCAGGGCTCCACTTTTTAGAATACTGACCTCTCCGTCACTATCAGATATCACAATGAATGCATCCTCAAGTTTTCGCTTCCTCTTCATAGTGACAGAATTTGTAGTGTCTTCATCTTTCTCCAGGTTCTGTGATTCAGGAGTTTCTTTAACTTTTTTCTTTCTTCGTGGCATCCTTCTGTTTGAAATACAAAGATAAATAATTCACTTAAAGATTCCTAGAAGCCATTCAATTCTGTCAAGTAAAAGAAAAAGGCTACTCATTTAACACAAGAAAACTACATTCCTGAACTGTTCTAGTACTCATTAAAAACTGCATTTTGAGAAGTGGGTATTTACCCTAATGATTAAGATAGCTGCATCCCATAATAGAATATCTGGGTTCAATTTCCAGCTCTGACTCCAGCTTCCTGCGAAAGCAGAACCTGGGAAGAGTAATTACGGCTCAATTAATTGGATTGCCACTCAACTGGGGAGACCTCGAATGCATTTCAAGGCCACCTCTGGTCACTGCAGACAACTGGGATATAAACCAGCAAGTGGGAGCTCTTTCTTTGTTCCCCCACTCTTTCTCTACTCAAATTTTTAAAAACCTTGTATTTTTTTTTGCTACAGAGGAAAATATATCTATAAATACATAAATCTCTAGAGTGAAATTGCAAGCAGTAATAATTTATCCTATTTTATGTATTAACATAGATAACTACTTTTCTCTATACACATTGATAATTGACAACCACAAGATTTTTTTCAGGATTTATTTACTTATTTGAAAAGCAGAGCAACCAACAGAAAGAGATGAAGCAACAAATATGTACAGAAAGGGACCCCAGCAGCCCCACCAGAGCTTGGCCAGGCTGAACCAGAACTGTACATTCCAGCCTGGTCTTTCACATGGGTGTCAAGGCTCAAGTAGTTAGGCCACCTTTCACCACCTTCCTGGCGCATCAGCAGGAAGCAAGATCAGAAGTCAAGCAACCAGTGCTCAAACCAATACTCCAATAAAGAATCCCAGCATCACAGTGATTTAACCCACTACACTACAATACCAACTCCTATACTGCAATTTATTTTAAATACCAATGCCTCAGTCTTATAAAGGGAACCTACATAAGTCACACCTTAGGTCCCAGTATGATGGCTACACTGGCTAATCCTCCTCTTGCAAGAACCAGAATCCTACCCATGTGGGTGTTGGTTTGTGTTCCAAATGCTCCACTTCCCATCCAGCTCCCTGCTTGTGGCATGGGAAAGCAGTGAAAAATGGCCTGAGCCCTTGGGACCCTGCACTCATGGGAGAACCTGCCCCAAGAAGAAGAATCTGCTAACCAGAAGTACAATGACTAAGAGCAAAAGAACAGACAAAAGCACAATGAATATTACTGAAGACTCCCCTGCAAAGGAGCAAAAGCCTTTGCCAACACGAGAGTTAACTGAAGCATACATCGAGAAAACGGGGGATACAGAATTCAAGCCACTTGATATAAAGCTTTTTATCCAAAAAAAAAAGTAAAAAAATTTTTTAATAAAAAAGCTTTTTATCAACAATGAGAAGCACATGCAGGAAATGCAGGAATTCAAGGAATATGCCACACAGCAAATAGCAACACTGAAACAAAATCAAGCTGAATTATTGGACATGAAGGATATAAAAGAGCAATGGAATATAAAAATTCAATGGAAAAAATTATGCTTCAATACTATAAACTGCTAAATATAAAAATGAAAATAGACACGAAACAGCTGAATAGTACCCTAGAACCATCTTAAGGTGTATAGCAGCCAGTTGTGTATAAACTAAAATTGAAATGTCAATGAAGTAGTCAGAGCATGTGGTTAAGAACTTGTATTTTCTAACATATTGGTCACTCAATACAGTGTCAATTAACTCCATAATGTTGTAAAAAAAAAAAAAAAATTCAATGGAAAGCCTCAATAATAGGATGAAGAACGCAAAAGAATCTCAGAATTGGGGCCCCGGCGGCGTGGTCTAACAGCTAAAGTCCTCACCTTGAACACCGGTTCTAATCCTGGCAGTTCCACTTCCCATCCAGCTCCCTGCTGTGGCCTGGGATGCAGTCAAGGACAGCCCAAAGCTTTGGGACCCTGCACCCGCGTGGGAGACCTGGAAGAGGCTCCTGGTACCCAGCTTCAGATCAGCATAGCATCGGCCCATTGCGCTCACTTGGGGAGTGAATCATCGGACGGAAGATCTTCCTCTCTGTCTCTCCTCCTCTCTGTATATCTGACTTTACAATAAAAATAAATAAATCTTTAAAAAAAAAAAACAGACTCTCAGAATTGGAAGATATTTCTTGTCACAATGGGGAAACAATCAAAAAGCTGGAAGTAGAGCTGGGTCAAACTAAAAAAAGTATTCAAGAATTAAGAAACATTATTAAAAGGACAAATATAAGAGTTATGGGAGTTCCAAAAGATGAAGAGAAGCTGGGTTTAAAAATGTAGTTAATGAAATAATAAAAGAAAATTTCCCTAATCTGGTGACAGAACTGAGAAACAACACCCAGGAGGGACACAGAATTCCCAACAGGGTTGACCAAAAGCAATCTTTATCATGACACATGATAATCAAGCTCTCTTCAATTGAACATAAGGAAAAGATCCTTAAATGTGCTCATGGAAAAAAAATAAAAACAACTGACATATAGAGGAATGCCAATTAAACTTGCAGGAGACCTCTCACAGGAAACTCTACAGGCAAGAAGAGAATGGAGCGACATATTCCAGATTCAAAAAGCAAACAACTGTCGGCCCAGGATCATCAAAACTTTCCTTAGTCTTTCACAATGAAATAAAATTCTTCCACAGTAAAGTTAAAATAATATGCCACTTCCAAACCTACCCTACAAATGATACTTAAAGATGTTCTCTTGACAGAGAAGAGGAACAGCACTCACCAATGCGAAAAGCCAATGTGAAGAACGTCCGAGTAAAATAACAACAGAAAACTAACTCAATGAACAACCCATTGCTAAATGACAGGACCAAATTACCACCTATTTATATTTACCCTGAATGTAAACGGCTTAAATGCATGAATGAAATGTCATAGATTAGTAGACTGGATTAAAAAAACAAAACCGATCTATCTATCTCTACAGGAGATCCATTTCATCAACAAAGATCAGTGAAAACTATCTCATGGATTTTGATATTTTTGGTTTTGGCTTCATTTCTTCAAAACACTTTTTTTTTCTCACTAAATTCTTCAATGATTCATAGATCATAAAGTAGATATCATTTCAAGAAGGTGCTTGATTTTCTTTTTCATTTCTTCAGGGACACATTAGTCATTTAGCAGCCTGTTATTTAACTTCATGGTGTTGTAAGTTCCTATTTTTCCTTCCTGTTGTTGATTTTGTTTTGTGGCTTTTCATTTAAGGGGATGTATAGTAACCGTGTAATGCAGACTATCATATATCCAGTGGCATGTTGTTTAACTTCAGGAATTGCAAGTTTTTGTTTTTCTTCCTGTTGTTGATTTTCTTTTGTGGCTTTTCACATAGGGGGATTTTTATTGACTGTGTAGTGGAGACTGACATGTCCACATATGAGGATACAGTGCAGTATGCATCTCTACTTCCAGATCAAGGATGGACTCCCAGTGACACTGCTGGGTGTGTCTTGACAATAGGATGCTGGACTCTATGCCATTGTCCATGCCCGCAATGATGGACTTATGACTGTTCAAGAGGAACTATGCTGTCGTAATGATATGGGAGAACATGGGGCAAGATGGGGGATATTGGGGAGGAGGTAGAATAAATCTCAGGGCCTATGGAACTGTATTGTAAAATGATAATAATATGAAAATAATAATCTTAAAAGGGAAAAAATCACCTTGAAAAATAAAAGGCCTATTCAACTTGCAAAAAAATGAATTCAATGATTTATTAAAAATAAATTAATTTTTAAAATGTTAATGCAAAGGTCAACAAAATCAAATAAAAAGAACACAGAGGATTTAAACACCTCAATTTCAAAACTTAATACTTTAAAGGTATAGTTATTGAGACAATGTATACAGTTATAAAGAAACTCTAAAAATACACACAAATTTACTGTTAATTAATTTTGTCTAAGGTTTCGAAAAACAAAGAAAATTCTTCAACAAATGGTATTAGGATAACTGGATATACATACATAAAAGATTGAAATAGCCCCAGCTGTAGGCAATTACCTAGACTGCCCAGTAGCTAGGCAAATGTTACACTGCTGCGAAAAAAGCAGGAAATAACGGGCGTGCATTCTGGGCCTAGTTAATACTTACTAAGTTTGTGTTAACTACACCATTATGCCTACATAATTACCTATTCTAACTTTTTTTCTGGTTTTAATAAGAGGGAAGGTGGGGAACTCCAGACCACTTGACTCAGACCCTAGTTACAGGGAAAACTCACAAGATTTTCACACTGCACACACCTTCCTCCCTACCCCACCCTTTCCACTATAATCAGAGGCCCACATGGACATGCATTCCTCTCAACTACATAAACAGTATTAAAAATAAAATTTTTAAGTGTTGAGATGGAATTGTATGTACATATACAAAAGCAATAAAAGTAGAAAAATCAGAATACCATCTGACCATGGAGTACATGTATCAGGACTGGGCAGCCTCAGTTGTTGACGCCTGTGCAGTGGCAAACATACCCAGATGTACATGGGGGACATGACAGCCAGTTCATCTAGCCCAGCAGGCAACATCAACTAGCCTCATTAGAGGACAGAGAGCAGAAAGGGTTGGACAATTCTCCTGGTCAAGCTTTGCAACATTTCCACCAACGCATTAAGGTGAACTTTGTCATCCAGCAGACCTTGGAAAGATTTTTTTCAACCTTTGAGCAACAAAACTGATGTCTCAGAACTATCAAAACCACTTAAGCAACACCCTCAGAACACTCTTCCCCACAATGGGTTCTCTAGGACATCATCAAAGACTGTGCACATCCCCAGATGCTGATGTAGTTTGATGTCTCTTTTCCCCTACTCCCCTGCAGATACAAAAGGCGGGCGGGGGTGGGGGGGATTAAAACACTGCACACACCTTCCTCCCTACCCCACCTTTTCCACCATAAACAGTATTAAAAATAAAAATTTTAAGTGTTCAGATGAAATTGTATGTACATATACAAAAGCAATAAAAGTAGAAAAACC